GTATAATTTACATAAAATGCATAAAAAACCTAAAAATTTTTACATTATATAGAAATGTATAGTTATATACTCCATGCTCCCTCCCAATCAATGCTGCCTCAAAACGAACTGCTCTTCTAATTTTAGAGCTTAACTCTTCTCATCTCTATCACCACAGATTAGTTGTATTTTTAAGCTTCATGTAAAATTTTCCATGTCAACTTTGAAAACATGACAGTTAAAGTTCTAAGGAATCTGCAGTTCTCCAACTGGTGTGGGAATAAGAGAATTTGACTCCACTGTGAATTGTGGTTACTGATGGTATCACTGAGTCTGTTACGGGCCAACGAGAAACAGTCTGAAGGGCCAAGAATTTATGGCCCTGTAGGGATTGCAGAAAGAAACCAAACCCAAGTTCATAATTCAGCCTGGAAGGAGAAAGTTCTATTACTCAGTATCTCAAGACTAAGCGGATCATAAATGGTGTCACAAGTTTGCATTTTTTTCCCTGTGGAAGATAATAATCTTTTGTATGCTTAATTCGTTATCATCGCCTTATAAATTATCACCAGCACAGATAACTACCACAGTCATCAGTGCAACTTAAAACAACAGAACCAGCATTTCTCACTTGCTGTTTTTTAAAGACACCTCCCATCATCTGCACCTGGTCCCCAAACCAGCTGTCCATGAGCAATGACGAATTAAAACGGGGGTGGGGGAGAAGGGGTGTAGGGCCCAAGAGTTGGGGAGCATTATGGCTTGCTGTCAAGTGGCAGCCTAAGATGCACTTGGGAAGATGTTTCATATCCATTTTCCCTGTGAAATTAAAATTGTGATGCTACCAAACCTTTGCTTGTCCACCATCCTTAAGAGAATACTCATTCAGTACAAAACCCTGCAAAAAGGAGTGAGCCAATTTGAATAAAAGCGAAAACTTCTTAGGAATTAGCAGCCCGAAAGGCTGCTTGAGAGATGGCAAACATATTGAGGAGTTTTCAAACAGCTGCTCTCTGATTACAGGTGGGAAAAGGCCATTCCCATGCCTTCTCCCACGGGCACAGAGAATCAAAGGCACTTTCCATATTTAACACGACTAATATGTCATTGGGCAAAGAGATACTCAATACATCTCCATAGCTTTTCCTTACTTTTACTTAACCTTTATGTCGGATACTTTATGCCTAGTACTGTTCTAAGCGCTTTGCATGCATCATCTCATCAACCTAATAAAGCAGCTCGGATAGATTAACTTTTAAAATCTGGATACAGCTGAGTAAGGTGGCAGAAAAGTTGGAATTCAAATAAAAGCCAGTCCTACAGCAGGGCCATTATTGCCTCCCCTAGCTTGATCACGAAAAATGAGTGGTTCTTCCCTCTGGGCACACAGGACAATGGACATGCGGGCTGCTGTCAGGATTTACCGAAGATGGCCGCTGCGCTGGGCTTGGAGTGTGAGCTGACGGTGTCCCAGACAAAAAAGTCGAGAGTGGCAGCCGACTGCTTTTTTGGAGGCCAAGAGAGGAGAAAAGGGTTAAACGGAAAAGGGCAGTCAAGAGCAAGGGCAAGAATAGGAGAAAAGGAAAGCCCCGACTCCCCTAGCCGCAGAAAGCGCTGGGCGGAAGTGAGCTGGCCTAGGAAGCGCCCTGCGTGGAGGTAGGCCCGCGCGGCGGAAGTGCGTTTCTGAGGCTCCTCCTGTAGACTGCGGAGGACAGACTGAGCTTGCGCGGGGGCCAGCTGTCCTCTCTTCTGATCCCGAAGACAGGATCGGATTATGGTTTGTTGCCGGTTAGCGCGGCCCTGGGGGTTTCCGGTCCCTGGAAACGAATCGCACCCCTGCAGTTTACTGGGCGCTCTTCTGTAACCCGCTTTCCGACCCCGCCCGGGGTATTAAGACCCGGGCAGATAAGGTCCCTCTGTCCCTCCTAGCGGCCGTCTCTCCTAGGCTGGAGGGCGGCGCCCCATATGACGCAGAAGGCGGCTAGGGATACGCCCTGTACCATGCCGGCCAGTCTGGATGCCCTAACGCCAGGCCCCGACTCGCTCTGGCCAGCGGGCATGCGGCGAGTTTGCCCCCGCAGCGCAGCCGCCCACAACTCGCTCTTCCAGAGGAGGAGCTTACGTTCGGACTTGCTTGGTAGTTTACTAGGGCAAAGTACCACCACACCCCGAGCAAGCAAACCTCAGGGAAGGGGCTCCTTCTGTGTAAAGTGATCGGCAGGCCTTGCAGTGGATCTTCGGTATCCATGGTTATATACCAATCATTATCTTGTCTACCTCATTTGGACTGTGCAGAACGAGATGCCAATAATATATCACATCCACAGACGGTAAAACTGGGATACATATAACCTCTTTCTCTTAGTCAGATTGACTTCAAAGGGGGCTGTCAGGGTTTCTTACTAAAGAAACATGCCTCCCCGTGGGTTTTCATCCGAGTCACTTATAAGTGAGCTAGTTTCTCCAACACCAATTGAGTTGGAAACTAGAATAACTGAAACACAACATATTCGCGTCCTGAACAGGGTGCTGAAATAAGTTACCAGCCTCATTACTTACCAGCCTTCTCTCAGAACCCTAACACCCCTTACAAGGGATTTCTAACTAGGAGTCCGTAGATAAAATTTAGAATGTGTGAGCATTATGTAATACAGATGTAAAACACTGAGATGGGATCCACGGGCTTTTTGGGGCTGTCAAAAGGCCCACGGCACAAAAATAGTTAATCTGTATACTTGAGGGAAGAAAGAAGCATCTCTGGAAGTAACTCGTATTAAGCTCTAAGCTCATTCAGGCTTAATTTCTGGGAACTTTTAACAAATGAAGCTTATGGTCCTAGCCAGTAAGAACGACTGCTCACTCCAGAAATCATACTGAGATGTTGCCTTTCCCTATTTTCCACTCTCTACTGGCGCTCAGATGGTTGGTTCTTAGTTATACTTTGGTTTCATAAAATCATCATCAGAAAATGGAGACTTTTCATCAATCACGTCTTAATCTATACTTTGGGGGTGTTTAAAAGATACATTCCTTCTGCACAAAGAACCTGGTTTTTCCATTTCTCTAAAGACTCCTTTCCAGCTATGACCAGGGTTCACAGGATGCTAATGTAATAGCCCATCAACAGTCATTTGAGAGTACCATGTTTGTTTATACTGAACCCACCATGCAGATACTTAACTACTTAGAAATTTTGATAATTGCTAATCCTTTTCTCATTTTTAACTCATTGGCCAGGTGAATTCTCACCGCCCCCCCCGCCCAAATTCTCCTACCTCCAACAATTAAACATCTTCTCATATATATATATAGTTACCTTTAATCATGTAATTCAACAGGAATAGAGAGGACGGGGACTATGAAATCTCGGCTGTGATGCAATTATGTCTGCAGCTCAAAATAGATGTTCTTTTCTCCCTCTCTTTTCTTGCTAGGATTGCACTGTAAATTCAAAGCTCTTTAAAAATCATTGCTCAAATATGCCCCCCTTTATCACTGTTCATGTTAACATCTGCATTCCTAAAAGGCTTTTAAAAATTAAAATACTAATCTGCTCCATACATAAATGAGGCTAACATTACACCATTTTAAAAAGGTGGGAACATTGTCTTCACTGCAATTTCAGCATCTCAAAACATCTTTTCATTACAGTTACACCTTTTCAAAATGTAGGACTGATTTGATGTTGACTTGGTACATTGTCCAGAATCTACAGTAATTCTGATGCAGATTGACTCAATGTCCATATTTTAAGAACCACTGGTTTAATGATGATTCCACTGGTTGGAATCATCTCTTTGGCTGGTCCCAGGGTACACTGAAGGCAATAGGTTGTGTAGAATCAGATGGAAGATACTTATGGAGGCATGAGAGTCACCAAGTGAACCTTTTATGCAAAAGTGCAAACTTGATTTGGAATTTTCAAAGTTCTATTTATTACAAAAAAAAAAAGGAATCCAGCCAAATGAAATGTGCTGGATGGAAAATTGTCTTTCCATAGAAAAACCTGTTTCACAAGTGCTTTGTTATTTGAATATTTAACGTATTCGTATTTCAAGTTTATTAAACCAGTTTAAATGCTCCTCCACCTACTTATGATTAAAACTTTCAACTCTTTATTACCTTGGTTAATGTTGACTAAGGACCTCCATGTTGAGGGAAAAGTGCTGGGATTAAGCAAATTGAACCTCTGCAGGCCCAGACAGGACCCTAATCAAGATATAAGAGGCCAGGTGTGGTGGCTCACACCCATAATCCCAGTTTTGGGTAGCCAAGGTGGAAGAATCGCTGGAGCCCAGGGATGTTGAGGCTGCAATGAGCCTTTATCATGCCACTGTACTCCAGCCTGAGCAACAAAACGAGACCTTGTCTTAAAAGAAAAAACAAAGACCCTGAACTGCAGTCACACTTTCCTAAATACCTAGTAAAATTAGCCGGTTAAATATAGTAAGATGTTCCCCAAAGATTTAAGGCAGATGCTGTTTTATATATATGGCTGTGTCCCTCTGTGACACGAAGTTACAGGGTTCTTTTTACCAGTAGTCTTGTACCCAGTGGGACCTTGCAAATCAGCGTCATATGGTAAAGAACAGAATCTGATCACATTTCCTACTTCCTAAGCAAGTATCAGAATATACTTGCTAAGCTTGTATACTGCCCTCAACTGCTATATTTGTTTTCTTTTCTTCTTTTTTTTTTGTGATAGTGGCGTCAAATGCTAAGTTGTTCTGCATAAGAAGAATTACAAAGACTAGGCAGCTGACAGTGAGAAACAAAAGCTGAGGAGAAACAATACTGCCTACTTAAATTGTTAAGGTAGGTCTTTTTTTTTTCTCTCTTAAATCACACAACCAAAAAGCTTAGGTGATAACTGCAAAGGATTTTGTTGGGGGGAAAAAAGGGGAGGAGTACTTTTGCAATTTAAACATCCTCTGTAATTTCTTCTGTAAAATTATTCATAAAATAAACATTACTCATTAGTGCCTCATGAAGTTCTCCTTTTGGGGAATGTGATTAAACACGCTTTATTTTAAATTTTGGCATAGGAGTCAAAAGCTGCCCAAGGAGGGCAGCTACCTATGGGGTGTGCATACATTCATGACCAATATTTAAGTCCAATATAGCTTTGATAATTGTTCTATAAAATGTTTATGCCTCACTGAAGAGTCTGTCGTTTTAAAAGAAAATCTTTACATTTATTGTATCCAGTTGCCTTTATTAGTAATCCGCCAAGTAAAAAAAGTATTCATAGTAATTAGTGACTCCATTGCATTAGAACTGTAACTTGGTGCCATTTTTGAAGACTGTTTTCCCAACAAGGAGGCATTAACATTTATCCAATTACTTTACTCTCTTTGAATAGCAAGCATGACGTAGGCCTCAGCTCACAGTTTACTTACCTGATTAGCTTCCATTTCTCTTTAAGGATATTAACTATGTGACACTTCTAGTTGGCACAACCAACTACCTAGCACCAGTACGTGAGATTATGTAAAAATCCTACCAGATTATGTACTAAAATAAAGTCAACATGTCTATTTTCTGGTTGCGTGTGTGATTTATCTTTTCTTTCTATGTCACTAAGATATGGGTAAGAGCCCTAAACTCCAAACATTTTTACATGTTAATATAAATTTAATGGTGGCATATTATTCCATCTACTGGCTGGGACATGGTATATATAATTATTTGCCTATTAATCGTTTCTGAATATTTGTATTCTGACTCTTAGCTAAGCTGGCTTCCCTCTTTTCTAAGTACTGACTGAACTGAACCTTTGATGACTAGCAAGGTCTCTGGCTTCCAAGTGCAATTTGAGCACTATTTATTTTTAGAAGTCTTAAGTCCAAACTATTTCCTTTAATTGCTCTTGTCCAGAATACACAACCTTTTTCTATATAGAGCCACATAAGAAATACTTTAGACTTTGCAAGCCAGTCTCCCTCACATATTCCTCTCCTTTTCCCCTTTTAAACTCTTTAAAAAGTCAAACAAAAAAACCTGAAAAACTAGAAGTTTTAAGTTTACTGCCACATGGGTACAATCATATACTTACGTCGATAATTTTATAGTTTTAAATGTAACATCTCACATTTCAAGTATCTCCTAAAACCTGCCATTGTAATTCTAGTTGCTAACACAATGGACATTATGACTTTATGAAAATATTCCTGTAGAATTAAAAATAACACTTGAAAAAAATTAAGGTTGTTTCTCAAATAGCTTACTTGGTTAAAGTCTACTTAAGGAGCAAGCTACAAGTCCAAATAATCTTTGCTGTTTGCCACCTACCTAACCAATTCCTCATTTTACTCATGTTTTGTGAGACAGAATCAACTTAGGATATTGTCTTCAGTTCTAGGGACCCAGAGGAAAAGAGCTGACCGAAGATGCAATAAACGGCCCCAATATACTGTGGCTATTTAAACAGAAATCAATCAGCAAACTAATGGGTGCATAGTAGGGAGAGGGGTTAGGCAACACTGGACACCTTAGAGCAGTGGTTCCCAACCTTTTTGGCACCAGGGACCCATTTTGTGGAAGACAATTTTTCAACGGACAGGGCAGGGGGATGGTTTCGGTATGAGACTCTTCCACCTCAGATTATCAGGCGTTCGATTCTCACAAGGAGAGCACAACCTAGATCCCACACATGTGCAGTTCACAATTGGGTTCTCACACCTATGATAATCTAATGTGGCCACTGATCTGACAGGAGGCTGAGCTCAGGTATGATGTTCACTGGCCTACTGCTCACCGCCTGCTGGTGTGGCTGGTCAGGGGCCGGGATTGGGGACCTCTATCTTGGAGGGTTTTAGGCGAATCCTAAATAGTATGTCTCCACTAATTACTTGCTTAACGTAGCAAGACCGGTATTTGTGACAGCCCATAGACACATCTGCTTTCTTAAGATGTATAATGTTTCACAGGAATTTTAATGGGGTGTTCTTGTTCATGTATTTGGCACTTGTGTAAACTTTGGTCCTAGGAATAGAGAGATACGAGTCTCCAGGGACAGCAAAAACAATCGAATGGCAAACAAAGAAGGGAGGCCGTATTTTCTTTAACACCCTTAATTCCACCCTTATCTCTGCTTTTGGGTGCTTACATAGCACATTATTTGTAACTGTAGTCACTCTAAATTATCCCTTACTGCCTCTTTGATGAGGAAGAATGATTAACACAATGGAATGTTGGAAGGTTTAAAGTCTATACCTCATTTGTCCTGGTATCCTTGAATTTACTAGTCAGGAGGAGTTAAAATATAGACATCTTTAAAAAAAATCTCTCCCCTTTTCACTTCACGTTATTTTATCCATATACTCATAAGTGCAACTGCATTTTCTTTTGCCTTAATAGTTACAGAATCCCACAGGGAATGGTCATGGGCTATTCTGGTTTTCAATCTGGGGAAACCCTATACTTTAACTTGAATAAAACAATAAAGTCCTCCAAACTAATATGTGATTTCTGCCCAGAGCTCCAAAAGTCAAAGTAAAGAAATTCAATGAAGTGAGGGTAACACAGGGAGTAAACATGACTTTCAAGGTAGCCAAATGCCCCATTATCTAAATAATGACGCCCGCCCATCAATGAACAAACAAGATTCCCACTGTCCCCATCTACTATCCAGTGAAACACAGCCAATTTGACAACTTGTGCAGGGAAAGACTCTGTTTAGCTTATACCTTGAACCTAAGGGAAATTAAATTGCACATTTTCTGTTCCTGGCTAATCTTCTGAATAATGTACTGAACACGGTAGGAGTTAATAATAAAAAATACCTGTCTGCAGTCTCAGAAACAATCACACACAAAACATCTGTTTATTTCCAGAGTGATGAAAGACTAGAATTTTTGGTCTCATGTATTTACTATATTGTTTCATACATTTATCTATATGCTTTGGCTGTATAAACTTGTTGAAATAGTTTGTGGCTCTTTATATTTAGCTTTTATAAATAATTGAAAACCTAATGAATGCTTATTTAATAACCAATCTAAACCTGGGACCTCAAACATAGGGTGTCAAGTAATCTGGTTGTCTAATAAGTAAGCATGTTGTCATCTTTCAGGCTGAGGGCACATCAACCAAGCTAAAAGACGTGTGTAAAAAAAAAACCAAACCAAACCAAAACAAAACAAAAACATCTACCGAACCAGCATATAATATCCAAGGTTAACTATATAGAAAGTCTAATAACATTCAGAAGGTGCTTGATGAATATACCAAACACATGTGGAATTAAATGAAAATTATTTACTGGCATTAGGACTGAATTTTTAATGTCAAATTAAAAAAATAGCCCATTAAAGTCCCAGCTCATGACATCTAAGTATCTGAAGATCCACTACTATTCTTTTTTCTTTTTTTGAGACAGAGTCTTACTGTGTCACCCAGGGTGGAGTGCAGTGGCATAATCTCGGCCCACTGCAACCTCTGCTCACCGGATTAAAGCGATTTTCGTGCCTCAGCCTCCTGAGTAGCTGCGATTACAGGTGTGTGCCACCACACCCGGCTAATTCTTATACTTTTAGTAGAGACAGGGTTTCACCATGTTGGCCACACTGGTCTCCTGACCTCAGGTGCTCCACCTGTCTCAGCATTCCAAAGTGCTGGGATTACAGGCCTGAGCCACCACACTGAGCAAGATCTGCTATTCTTTTCAGTTAGTAGTATTAAATTAAGTGATGCTTCTACTCTTGAGTTGTACTTCAGGATCTAAAGTTATTGGTTTGACCTTTAGCGAAAACAGTAACCATAATAAAAAGATCACAATGTCTAAACATCTTGCAGTAATTCATTGTAAAAGCAGTAGGATGAACTCTTACTATGCTTAAAATAACAGTTGATAGCCCCCTCCACCTTTTGAAAAGATGCTTATGGCTGGGCGTGGTGGCTCACGCCTGTAATCCCAGCACTTTGAGAAGCCGAGGTGGGCAGATCACCTGAGGTCAGGAGTTCAAGATCAGCTTAGCCAACATACTGAAACCCTGTCTCTACTAAAAATACAAAAGTTAGCCGGGTGTGGTGACACAAGCCTGTAATCCCAGCTACTTGGGAAGCTGAGGCAGGAGAAATGCTTGAAATCGGGAGGCAAAGACTGCAGTGAGCCAAGATCTTGCCAGTGCATTCCAGCCTGGGTGACAGAGCAAGACTTTGTCTCAAAAATAATAATAAAAAAAAGATGCTTATATTAGGTGGGGTGGGGGAAGGAGGGATGTATAGAAGTTGGTTAAGTGGTACAAAAGTAAAGTCAGAAGGAGTAAGTTCTACTATTTTACAGTACAGTAGGAAAATTATAGTTAATAATTCATATTGTATATTTCAAAATAGCCAGAAGATTTGTAATGTTCCCAACACAAAGATAAATGTTTGAGGTGACAGCTATTCCAACTACCCTGATTTGACCATTACACATGTTACACAATTATGAAAATATCACATGTGCCCCTAAAATATGCACAAATATTATCTATATCAATAAAAAGAAAGAAGTAAAGTAAGAAATAAAGCCTTCTCCCTCTCAACAAATCTTAAACACTCCTAAGAAGAGATAGTTTCCGGGCTAACAAGACTTTACCTGTTTGACAAAAAAAGTTTAGTCCATCAGAATATTCCAATTTTCTTTAAAAGAAAAATCCTCTTTCAGTGGTAGGCAGCTAAGACAAACTCCTAGAGTTCTATAATTTGGTCACTTTTTTGTCTTTTTTGTTTAGGATTTAATGTTTGAAAAACACTTCTGCTAGAAAGGTTCTACTTTTGACTTCTTAAAAGAAGACTGGCCTTAAAGTTTATGCCGTAAACAGAAAAGCTAAAATAGGTATTAGTATAACTGAGTTTACTCATAGCTAGGCTTCAAAGTGCCTGACTTCAAGGTGACTTGGAAATTTACTTTGTGTCTGCCCTTCATTTACAAAAATAAAGAAGCCAAGGAGCTGGTTTATTTCAATCTTTAGGCAACTCCTCTAGGCCAATGATTTTACAATCTAACATTCATTTACTATTCTAATAATTATGGATATTATTAATAATATACATAAGGGTCAAATTTATTTGAATGTGAAATTTTAAATAGAGGTGACCGTTGAACAATATGGGTTTTAAATGTGCACGTCCACTTACACACAAATTTTCTTCTGCCTCTGCCACCCCTGAGAAAGACCCCTCTCCTCTTCCTCAGCCTACTCAACGAGATTGAACACCTTTATGATCCACTCCTACTTAATGAACAGTAAATATATTTTTTCTTCCTCATAATTGCAACCTTTGCTTCCCAGGTTCAAGTAATTCTCCTGCCTCAGCCTCCCAAGTAGCTGAGATTACAGGCGCCAACCATTATGCCTGGCTAATTTTTATGTATTTTTAGTAGAAACGGGGTTTCACCATGTTAGCTAGGCTGGTCTCAAACTCAACAGGACCACAACCTGTCACCCAGGCTAGAGTGCAGTGGTGCAATCATAGCTCACTGCAGCCTTAAACTCCTGGGTTCAAGCAATCCTCCTGCCTCAGCCTCCTGAGTAGCTAGGACTACAGGCATGCACAACCATGCCTGGTTTGTAGAGACAGGGTCTCACTTTGTTGCCCAGGGTGGTCTTGAACTCCTGAGCTCAAATGATCCTCCTGCCTTGGCCTCCCAAAGTACA